CATTCAGTGTAAATATTACGTCCTTTTTATGCGAAATATTACAACATTTCATATTAAAACTTATGGATGTAATATTATGGCAGGAAAAGTTTCCTGATGAGAATCAGGTTGTCCAGTCCTTATAGATTGGGGATTTTCTATTACAAATAAAGAAAAGGTAGAATTCTGTGGGGGTATTGATTGTGCAGCAGATGAAGTATTGGAAAAGATTAAGATTGGTGAGGCATTTGAGTATAAACCAGAATATGATTTGATTAGCTTTATTTGTAGCATTTATATTATGTTACATGCACCAGAAGATTTTCACTGTCTTTCATTTGACAATGAAAACCTTGAGGGTTATGCAGGAAATCTTGCTGATTTTTGGTGTTCCCATTCTGTATCAGAATTGTGGAAGAGAATGCATAGAATGGCTTATGAATTAGATTATCAAGGACTGATTGATTCACTGGAGCAACTATTTTAGATTTTTTTATTAGTCAATTGGCATAAGATATTGCTTGTTAAATGAACTTTAATCTTTTATTTTGATTACAATAAAACTGAAATTATATCTATACTGAAATCCATCAAGATGTAAAAAAATTTTTTTTTCATATAAATTTACCCTCTATACTGAAATTTCATATAAATGCCCATTATACTGTTTGTTCATTTTACAATTGTTTTTTATATACTTAATTTACCTCATTACACTGAAATACATGTTGAATTTTTTGATATGATTGGTGTGACATTCTTAGAAAATGTAGAAACAAAGCACAAGATAACCAAATTCAATCCACACTTACTAAGTGATTTTTAAAAAATCTGTTAACTTTTATGTTGACAATTATTGATTATTTTATAAATAATAAATTTAAACTTATCTATAACAAAACTTGCAGGTTTTTCCTAATAAATTTAGTATATGCATATACACTATTAGTCAAAGGACATTATGTAACTTCAGGGGGGTCAAGCATCACCACTAATAAAAATTTGGCGATTAACATTGAATTTTATATGAAAAAATGAAGAAAAAATCACTCCTGTATGCACCACAAAGTGATAAAAATTATATATATAGGGATAAGTGTATATGAAAAGTAATAGTAATCATAATAGTTCTAATGAATATCAAAAGGCAATTGATTTTTTAGAAAGAGGCTGTAAATGTAGTTGTTCTTCAAGAATTCCTAAGGAAGAATTTGCAGAATTAAGGGAATCCTTTCAAGCTCTTTCTAAAGTAGAACAAGACATATTCTTAATGGCCCAACTTAAGGCAATGGATGGTGGATCAATAAG